AACCTGAAATCTTTAAGGGGCTGTGGTATTCTTCATTCTATGTGAATCTGGTAGAGATGGGGGCTCCTGAGAGTTTCACAGACAACATTTTACACCCAGTTTTGGGACTCACAGCTCTCATGAGGTCCCTCTGTGACTTTTGATAAGGTTCCAGTAGCCTCAGAAATTTAGAAGGCTTACTTAAGAGGCTGGAAAGATGGCTGCTCTTAACCTGGGTTCAATTCCCAGCACCCACATGGCATCTCATAACTGTCTATAACTCCATTTCCAGGGAATCTGACACCTTCACACCAATGTACATAAAATGAATTTAAATGAACTGAACTAAAGAAAAAGAAAGCTTACTTAAGAGGGCCTGTGTGGGGCCCAGGGTCTCAGCCAGCATCAGTGCTGAGTTTTTAACTCTGCCAGGCTTCTCTTCCTTGAGAGCAGGATAAATGGGCTCCCAGAGACACCAGCCTCTCCTCGGGTTCCTTGCAGAAAGCTCTGTCTGAGGTGGTTGCTGAGAGGGAACCAGGGCATGGATCAGACAGTTCAGGCCTCCTGTTTACCAATCCTGCATTCTCTACAGACTGATAAGGAACGGCTGACAGTGGAGGCCAAGGAGTTGCACAAGAAAGTCAGGCACCTGCAGGATCAGCTGAGTCCACTCACCCGGCATCGAGAATACCAGGAAAAGGAGATCCAGCGGCTCAATAAGGTGACTCACTCTATAGATCTTACACCTCTGGCTAGCTCAATGCCGGAAGTAAAATTGAGCACCATCATCCCTGGCTGCCCACCCCCACCCCCACCCCAGCTTTGTCAGATCTTCAGGGTAGGTTCCTAAAATAGAAACTAAGTATCTATTGCAGTCCAGGCTCACATAACTGGAGGCAAGGTGGGTTGCTGGGGCCTGAATCTTGAAGAAGCTGTCTGATGAGGCAGCTTCTCTCGCAGAGCTAGGCTGCTTTCTAGGGCTTGGGTATGAAAAGTGGAGCCAGGCCTGTTCAGAGGTCTTTGTACGTGAAGACCTCAGGTTAGCCTGAGGATTAAGTGCACAGACAGAGCCAGGTGGTGATGGCGCATGCATTTAATCCCAGCACTTGGGAGCAAGGCAGAGGCAGGTGGATCTCTGTGAGTTTAAGGCCAGCCTGGTCTACAGAGCGAGTTCCAGGACAGGCTCCAAAGCTACAGAGAAACCCTGTCTCGAAAAACAAAACAACAAGAAGAAATAGCACAGACAGGCTGTGTTGAAGTCCTGTGTTCACTCATTAGCTTTCTCCATTTGCAGTTTCCTTCAGCAACAGAAGCCCTCAGCAGTCTCCATTGGGATTTCTGTTGCTATAATAAACCACCATGACCAAAAGCAACTGGGAGAGGAAAGGGTTTATTTCATTTATAACTTTTAGGTCCCAGTCCATTACTGAGGAAAGTCAGGGCAGGAATCTGGAAATAGGAACTGAAGCAGAAACTGTAGAAGAATACTGTTTACAGTCTTGCTGTTCATAGCTTACTCAGCCTGCTTTAGTATACACTCCAGGACTAACAGCCCAGGGGTGGGACCACCCACAATGAGATGACCCTTCCCATATCAATCACTAAGCAAGAAAATGCCTCAAAGGCTTGCCTGTAGGCCAGTTTGGTGTGGGCATTTTCTCAGTTGAGGTTTCCTCAGATGACTCTGGCTTGTGTCAAGTTGACAGAAAACCAACACAGGACACTCAGTCGAGTCACAGTGGGTCTCTGGGCCTCAGTTTCCATATGTGGAGACTAGGGATGAGCTCCTAGCCTTTGCTCCACAGGATGATGAAGAGGCTTCCGGGGCAGTGGTCCATGTACAGTGTTGATGGAGAGGGCTGGTTAAGTACCAGTGCTTCTGGGGTTACACTTAGAGTCACTGTACTGTCAGAAAGAGGGGTCTTCAGAGGGGTCTGACTTCCAAGGAAGCCCTGCTGCTGATCCTGTCCCTTCTCTCCTGGCCCCAGGCCCTGGAGGATGCCCTCAGCATCCAGGCCTCTCCATCATCACCAACACCAGCTTTTGGAAGCCCAGAAGGGGCTGGGAGCCACCTGAGGAAGCAGGAGCTAGTGACACAGAATGAGCTGCTGAAACAGCAGGTAAGGCTTGGTGTGTGGATGCACCCCCAGGAGCCAGCCAGCCTTCCCTCATGCTGTCCATTCCCTGTGGGCCTAGTCATCACATTTCTACTTTTTAATTTTAAGTCAGTGATCCCTTTGTTCAAATAAAGTCCTGTCTCAAAGTCCAGAGTATAAGACAAGAACACAGAATTGGGGCTGGAGAGATGGCTCAGAGGTAAAGAGTATTGACTGTCCAGAGGTTCTGAGTTCAATTCCCAGCAACCACATGGTGGCTCACAGCCACCTATAATGAGATCTGATGCCCTCTTCTGGTGCGCGGACATACATGCAGACAGAACACTGTATATAATAAATAAAATCTTAAAAAAATAAAAATAAAAGAACACAGAGCTACTCTAGTGAAGTTGGATTTGGGGCTAGAGGTGCCCTACACTAGTCTCCAATGCCTCTAACTCCTCCCCAATAGCCCAGTGAGAAGCATGGAGTCTGGGCCTGAACAGGGCAGCTTCCAGAAGGCTGTACTGACCCCTCACCTCCCGATCTCCTCTAGGTAAAGATCTTTGAGGAGGACTTCCAGAGGGAACGGAGTGACCGTGAGCGCATGAATGAAGAGAAGGAAGAGCTGAAGAAGCAGGTAGAGAAGCTGCAGGCCCAGGTCACCCTGTCAAATGTTCAGGTAGGAGCACCACCCTGGCCGTATGTGGTTAGAAGTCCCTGGGGACTTACTAGACTGCATCCAGCTCTACTGCCACTACTCTCTTTGGACCTCTGCTAGTCCCTTGTCCTCTGAACTTTGTACAGTGTTGTGGTCTAAGGTGTTACTAGTTCTGACTATCAATGTTGATGCCTAGAGGAGCACAATTAATAGGGTAGAATGAAAAGACGCTAGAAGGAAAGCACTTGGACTGCACTTCT